AAAAAAAAAAAAAAAAAAAAGGAATAGTCATCCTCCAGAGGGGGCGCTGGTCCACACAGCATCCCTGCCTTTCCAGGCTGAGACTGAGGCTGCGCCCCATTTCTCTCATCTCCACAGTCTTTCCATGTTCTAAGTGCAGTGCCCTCTTTTAATATTGACCACTCCTGAGTTCTTAATTCCATTTTCTGTTGTAGAAGAATAATTGGAAATATGCTCAATGAACACATATTATTTACCTAAGGCTAAAAATGATAGCAGCAGAGTCAGGGAGGGACTGTATATAATTTCATTCTTGTGTGAGGTGTACCCTCCCACACTAAAGAATTATTTTTCTATGCCTTCGGATTTTCTTCTCATATTTTTCACTACATGTTCTCTCAACACTTCCTTGCTCCCCATCGGAGACTCCAGTTTTCAATGGTTTTGTCCAGTCTTGCTGTTTCAGGAGAAACAAGAGCGCTTTGCCTGTCATTAGATCCTGAGTGTCGATTGTAGTTGCAGGTCCTTAAAGAGGCACAGTGCGAAGTAAGTAGTTAAAGCATTTACAAAGCCACTGGATGACCCACGCTGATTTATTTATTTATTTTATTGAGAAACAAATAGCAATGAGACAGTTTCAAAACTGATTAGTAGGACAGTTGCAATAACTAATACATTGTATATTGTTGTCTTCGTAGTAGTTATTCATAGTACAAGATGCAGACGTGATATCCTGTCCAAACACTATCAGTACAAATCTTCCTTCTCATTGAATTAAGAGAAAGTAGCTGTATGTCTATCCTATTTTGCATATACACAAGCTGCTTTATAAAGGGAAAGCATGCCACATGCTGAGTCCTATACACTGCAGCCTTCTGTATGAGAAAAAAAAAATAAATAACGCAATCATTTTCGTAGTTCAAGATAGATGCTTTCTTTCTCAAAAGATATTGAGATGTCAGAAGGAGACTTATCTGTATTTATATTTTCATCATTTTAGTTTGTACTTAGGTAAATTTCTGAACTTCTGTCCTTCTTTGGTCATTCTCAATAGAGTTATACAATGAAGGTTTCATCATTGAGCTGACGCTAATGCAAGGTCAATTGTTCCAAAACCATCAGTGTGAGAGAGAAGATGGCAGTCATTCTGCTTGAAAATGAGGCACTAAAGTACTAGAAATAGTGTATGTAAAATGATTGACTTAAGCATGGGGATACCATAGAACTATACTGCGCTACATGAATGGACATAGTTCAGCCACCTAAAAGAAATATTTGCTACAATTCCACTTATACAGGCAGCTAGAACAGGCAAAATCATAGCAACAAAAGACAGAGTAAAGGTGAAACAGGGCAAGAGGAATAAGAAGTTAGTTACTCTAGTGGGTAAAGATACTGTTTGGGAAAATGAACATGTTCTGAAAACAGACGGTGGTGATGTTGACACTGCGGATGTGCATAATACCACCAAAATAATAAAAGATATCTAAAAGAGGCACTTTGTTATTTATATTCTAACATATGAGAATATATATATAAAGGACAGACAGAATTTTAGGAGGCTAAAGCAAGAGGACAGAAGAATTGGGCAATTGGGAACTAATGCGATCCAGAAGCATAGCTCCTGCCGCACTGGGTAGAGTAACTGAAAGAGACTTGTTTCAGCTGCGAACCTTCCATCAGCTCACACTGCTAATTCCATTTGCACTGAACCGAACTTGGGCCCTGCAGGTGGTACCACTGCCATGGCTTCCTGCGGGGCCCGGCAGGAGCCCTTCCCCGTGCTTCTCCATGTATTACACACTCCCGATTGGAAGCTCAGGGGTGGGGTGCCTCTGAAAAGAGGCTCCTGGGCCACAAATGTGTTCTCACTGTAAGGGAGGCTGGGACACACAGGATGTTTTCTGTGGCTGCAATGGCAGGAGAACACTATCACCAACGCGGAAATCCTCTATGCGAGGCAGGTCGCTAAAACAAACGTATAGTAAGGATGAATGAACCTATGGTTGGGACCGTTCTCCCTCTCCCCTTCCTGCTTCCTCTCAATCATCCCAATAGTAGGCATGAGTACTCTCTGTTATTATCTAACTGGTAAGCGTGAAGAAACTTCTGGTAAATCTACCTCAGAGTCTGCCGTGAAGAAGGACGGATTTGAGTCATTCGTTGGAAAGTGGCTACATGCTGATTCCAAAAGGCTGAGTGAAATAAACCAGACACAGAAAGTTAAATATCACATGATTTCTTTTATATGAGTAAGCCAAAGTATAAATAATTTAAAGAGCAAAATAAAAATAGATGACAACAAGCAGGGAAATCGACTCTGTAGAGATGGGACGGGAGAAGAGAGGTAAGGGACAGAAAGTGAGAGCTGCCAAGACAATCAGGACACAGTATTCACATGCACCAATCCTCCATGATGAATGCATTTATTAGTATATGCAAATATGTGTGAATCTAAAATCTTAAAACATTGATATTAATAAATCATTTTTCATACTATCTAATTATATAAAAATTGCTTTCCTTTTCATGCATACATCATTACTTTGTACAAAATTTAAAGCCTTTCCCAAATGCATAGAGAAGCAATCATTTTGTGAGGTGCTAAGAAGTCCTTAGAAAAGCCCCTTGGTGCCTTATCACAGTGTGCCTGGACAGGAACATAATTAAATCCATTTAAAAAAAAAAAACACAGAGGGTAAAAACCAGTAAGAATAAGCCTGGTTGCAAAACTGAGTTGTTTCAAGCCAAATGCTAGAATTCACACTCAATCAC